GTCGGTACAGCAAAACACCCTGAAAATCAGCAAAATCAGGAGAAAATTCATGAAATCTCAGGGCCTGATCAAAGTCGAGGGTAAGGGCGGATGTAAGTGAGGGGAGACAAAGCCCTCGCAATTGACTAATGAGCGCCGTATGTGGGAGCAGCTTCGCTCGCTTACAGCGTCATGGAATTGACTTCTAATGGCAAGAGAAATATGGGCCTTCATCGAGAGAATCCATCGACGATTGATAAATGTCGAAACAATCGAAATCGATCGTGACCGTCAAAGCGTGTTGGACTTTTAGTTACATCGCACGGGCAGCTGGCGGAAATTCCCCCGAAAGGAACAACTGCTGCTAGAGGCAAGGATTTTGTCATGCTAAGGCGTTGTCTCTAATACCCTTGCAATTAAGAGGACATTGCCATGTATGAATTTCACTGCTCTACTGGGTTGCCAAGTTCTCAGGGTTTGTGGGGAGTAGGGGGGACAGCAGAGAGCAGGGGGGACATCAGAGAGCAAGAGGGACAGCAGACTGTGGGGGAACTGCAGAGAGCAGGGGGACAGCTCGGATAGAATGGGGAAGAGGGGTGGGGCTTGAATGGAGAGATTGGGCAGAAGAATGGTGAGGGAAAAGGTTATGACTGGATAGGTGGAGGGAGAATTGAGAGGGGGTGAGACCAGGAGACGGTAGGGAATCCAGAGACGGGTGAGGGGACAGGACGGGGAATACCAAAAGCCAGCATTTCCTCTCTTAAAACCCAGGGATTAAACCCCTCTTCCTACCCAGCATTTCCTCACTCCCTGCCCTTTGCACCCCCTCTCTTTTCCCTGTGTTCCCCCTCTCCCTGCGCTTGTTCCCCCTCTCCCTCATTCCGCCTACCACCCTCCTTCCTCTTAATTCTTCCCTTCATTCCGTGTGCCTATTACCCTTTCTCCACCCCCCTCTTTCCCCCATTCCGCCCCTCATCCGCCAACCTCTTTCCCCCATTCCCCCATTCCGCGACGGAAGGTGATAGGCGACAGGGCGTGATGGGCAGTGGGAAGTGATAGGCGACGGGCGTGATAGGTGGTGGGAAGTGATAGGCGACGGGACGTGATAACCAATGGGAGGTAGTGGGCTCGAAATGTGATATGCGACGAGAGGTAAAAGGCGATGGGAGGTGATAGGCGACGGGAAGTGATAGGCGACGGGAGGTGGCGAGGGTGTTAGAAGGCTAGCTTAGCTAGGAAGCTAGGAAAGGCATGAGGTTTAGCTAGGAGGAGCCATGGAGTGACGTGAGGTTTAGAAAGGAGAAAAGTTGAGGAGAGAAAGGAGAGTTAGGAAAGAAGAGAGGGGCATACAAGGAGGGGTGTTGTACCCCCTACAGTAATGTTCAGTAGCATCTAATGTACCAAGCCTACACATTATATAACTCAATATATAATTTTAACACACCCCCTAGGCTTGGTAGTCACATGCCCACACACACCCACACCCCCTAACCTAGCACCCCCATTCCAAGCATCAGCCACGTCTACTCCGGTGGGGCCAGCCCCCACGGCCCGTGAGATGGCGATGGCGGCAACCACGACAGTGACGAGAGTGGTGGCGGCGGCGGCGTGCGGCGGCAACGGCCTGCGGCGACGACTTCAACATCAGAGGCAACTGCAGCGGCCCCCGCCCTTTTGGCGGCATGGCCAGTCTCGACGGCGATGGGGGCCCCCACGCGCCAGGCGTCGGCTGTGGCGAGGAGGGGACGCAGGGGAAGGAGGGCAGCTGGCGTGCGGGCGGTGGCGACGTCACAGGCGTCGCGCGGCCGGCTGCGGCCCGACGGCGCCGTCACAGAGCAGCGTCGATGCCGCAGCGGGACGTCGACGCTACGACGGCAGCACGACGGCCCAACACCATGGCAGCGCGTCGAGACGGCCGCGGCACGACGCGGCCAGCGGCATCACGACGCCGCCACTGCAGCAAAACGCGGCCGCCATGGCCGCGCAAGCGAACAAGGGTGAGGAGTACGCGGCGGAAACGTGAGGAGGCGGTCCAGCAGGGAGGAACTGCTCTGATACCATATTAGAAGGCTAGCTTAGCTAGGAAGCTAGGAAAGGCATGAGGTTTAGCTAGGAGGAGCCATGGAGTGGCGTGAGGTTTAGAAAGGAGAAAAGTTGAGGAGAGAAAAGAGAGTTAGGAAAGAAGAGAGGGGGATACAAGGAGGGGTGTTGTACCCCCTACAGTAATGTTCAGTAACATCTAATCTACCAAGCCTACACATTATATAACTCAATATATAATTTTAACAGATTGGAGGTGTGATAGGCGATGGGAGGCGAGGCGGCGGTAGGTGTGATAGGCGACGGGAGGTAAAAGGCGCCGGAACGGAGGCCGAGATAGATGGGCGACGAATGGGCTGGGAGGAAATGGGGCCAATACGATGCGTCTGCGGCGATACTTTTTACCAGAAAAAAGAAACCAAAAATGGAGAAGGGGGACAGCTCGGATAGAATGGGGAAGAGGGGTGGGGCTTGAATGGAGAGATTGGGCAGAAGAATGGTGAGGGAAAAGGTTATGACTGGATAGGTGGAGGGAGAATTGAGAGGGGGTGAGACCAGGAGACGGTAGGGAATCCAGAGACGGGTGAGGGGACAGGACGGGGAATACCAAAAGCCAGCATTTCCTCTCTTAAAACCCAGGGATTAAACCCCTCTTCCTACCCAGCATTTCCTCACTCCCTGCCCTTTGCACCCCCTCTCTTTTCCCTGTGTTCCCCCTCTCCCTGCCCGTTGTTCCCCCTCTCCCTGCGCTTGTTCCCCCTCTCCCTCATTCCGCCTACCACCCTCCTTCCTCTTAATTCTTCCCTTCATTCCGTGTGCCTATTACCCTTTCTCCACCCCCCTCTTTCCCCCATTCCGCCCCTCATCCGCCAACCTCTTTCCCCCATTCCCCCATTCCGCGACGGAAGGTGATAGGCGACAGGGCGTGATGGGCAGTGGGAAGTGATAGGCGACGGGCGTGATAGGTGGTGGGAAGTGATAGGCGACGGGACGTGATAACCAATGGGAGGTAGTGGGCTCGAAATGTGATATGCGACGAGAGGTAAAAGGCGATGGGAGGTGATAGGCGACGGGAAGTGATAGGCGACGGGAGGTGGCGAGGGTGTTAGAAGGCTAGCTTAGCTAGGAAGCTAGGAAAGGCATGAGGTTTAGCTAGGAGGAGCCATGGAGTGACGTGAGGTTTAGAAAGGAGAAAAGTTGAGGAGAGAAAGGAGAGTTAGGAAAGAAGAGAGGGGCATACAAGGAGGGGTGTTGTACCCCCTACAGTAATGTTCAGTAGCATCTAATGTACCAAGCCTACACATTATATAGCTCAATATATAATTTTAACACACCCCCTAGGCTTGGTAGTCACATGCCCACACACACCCACACCCCCTAACCTAGCACCCCCATTCCAAGCATCAGCCACGTCTACTCCGGTGGGGCCAGCCCCCACGGCCCGTGAGATGGCGATGGCGGCAACCACGACAGTGACGAGAGTGGTGGCGGCGGCGGCGTGCGGCGGCAACGGCCTGCGGCGACGACTTCAACATCAGAGGCGACTGCAGCGGCCCCCGCCCTTTCGGCGGCATGGCCAGTCTCGACGGCGATGGGGGCCCCCACGCGCCAGGCGTCGGCTGTGGCGAGGAGGGGACGCAGGGGAAGGAGGGCAGCTGGCGTGCGGGCGGTGGCGACGTCACAGGCGTCGCGCGGCCGGCTGCGGCCCGACGGCGCCGTCACAGAGCAGCGTCGATGCCGCAGCGGGACGTCGACGCTACGACGGCAGCACGACGGCCCAACACCACGGCAGCGCGTCGAGACGGCCGCGGCACGACGCGGCCAGCGGCATCACGACGCCGCCACTGCAGCAAAACGCGGCCGCCATGGCCGCGCGAGCGAACGAGGGTGAGGAGTACGCGGCGGAAACGTGAGCAGGCGGTCCAGCAGGGAGGAACTGCTCTGATACCATATTAGAAGGCTAGCTTAGCTAGGAAGCTAGGAAAGGCATGAGGTTTAGCTAGGAGGAGCCATGGAGTGGCGTGAGGTTTAGAAAGGAGAAAAGTTGAGGAGAGAAAAGAGAGTTAGGAAAGAAGAGAGGGGGATACAAGGAGGGGTGTTGTACCCCCTACAGTAATGTTCAGTAACATCTAATCTACCAAGCCTACACATTATATAACTCAATATATAATTTTAACAGATTGGAGGTGTGATAGGCGATGGGAGGCGAGGCGGCGGTAGGTGTGATAGGCGACGGGAGGTAAAAGGCGCCGGAACGGAGGCCGAGATAGATGGGCGACGAATGGGCTGGGAGGAAATGGGGCCAATACGATGCGTCTGCGGCGATACTTTTTACCAGAAAAAAGAAACCAAAAACGCTATACGCAAAGGGGGGGGGGATGGGCAACAATACGATGCATCTGCGGCGCTGATTTTTACTCTCCCCGTGGATACTTTTATGGCGCCCTAAGCTACTTTAGGTTACTAATCTCAGCTCTGACTGACAACCTATTGCGCACCCGGGGCTCACTTGAACGCATGGGCTGGTGTGTGGGTCGCATCGCATGCCTTGCCCCCTTCTGTTGCGTCCTGCGAACTTTGGGACCGTCGCACCGTGTCACGTCAGGATCATGCTGCAACATTGGAGTCGTGCACCAATCCCGCTGTTTTGAAACCTCGCAGCACTGTTTTTTTCACGTAGACCAGTTGGTTGGGTTGCAAAACAGACCGTTTCCATTGCCAAAAAAAAAACCCAGTTTTCAAGTGAGCCCCAGGTGTGCTTTTTTAGCCTGTGGTTTTAAGTAGCGGGTAAGTGCGCCCATAACCCCCCAGGCTCTGCACCTGTGACCCTTCCCCGAGGATCTCAAGGGCAACCCCAACGGGTCTCGCGACAGATGAGACACCCTGCCATTTGATGCAGAGAAGGCGGAGCTGTGAGGGGTAAAGCCAAGCATTGCAACGCATGGAATGAGATAATGGTGATGGTTGGGAAGTGCATGAACGATTTCTCAGCTCTTGCGTGGTCTAGTGGCTGCATTGTACAAGATAGAAGTATCTGATGTTTCACTCCTCAGCAAGACCCCAACCGGACCGTCAAATAGACTCAAGCAAACGTACCACCCATGACCAGGGCAAAGCATGCCATGCCACACCATGCCAAGCCACACCATGCCACACCATACCATGCCACACCATGCCATGCCACACCATGCCACGCCACACCATGCCACCCCACACCATGCCACGACACACCGTGCCATGCCACACCATGCCATGCCACACCATGCCATGCCACACCATGCCATGCCACACCATGCCATGCAACACCATGCCACGCCACACCATGCCACGCCACACCATGCCACGCCACGCTACTTCAATCCTATCCTCTACTCTATCCTCAGCCCGTACATGCTGTCAATCCCTCGAGGCTCCACCACATGCCCGCGATCATCCCGCACGTGCCAGCAGTCCTTGACTCCCAGGTAACGCAGCATTGTGAGGTCAGCCAGGCCCTGCGGCAGAGCCCGCAGCTGCTCACACCCATTCAGATCCAGCCTCCTCAGCCGGGTCAGCTGCACAAAGCCAGCGGGAAGAGAGCGAATGGTGGCGCTGCCAACAGACAGCTTGTGCAGGCATGCAAGGCGGGTGAGAGACGCCGGCAGGTGCTGCAGAGCCGGGCAGTCAAACAGGTGCAGCTGGCGCAGGCGGGTCAAGGCGCCAATGCTCTCAGGCAGCTCCTGCAACTCCCCCGCACGGTGGATCTGCAGACTCCTCAGCTGTGGCAGCGCTGAGCCAATGTCGCATGGAAGCCTCTGGACCTTCCCAGCATTCCAGATGACCAGGGAGTGCAGCTGGGGCAGCAGCGCCAGGGGGAATGGCAACTGCAGAGCATCGTCCTGCAAGTGCAGCTCCAGGTGCTGAAGGTGGGGAAAGCTGCTGGTAACCGCCATACGTTCCTCCTTGCCAACCAGCTTCAGGCTCAGCTTCCTCAGCTTCGGCAGCAGGGAGACGTCCGGTAGATCAGCCACGCGGTAGCTGTTTCCCAGGTCTAGGACCTCAAGTGAAAGCGGCAGACACGCAGGAGGCTCAGTCTGGTAGCGGCACCCTGTCAGCTCCAGCCATTTGAGCTTCCCAAGGCCCTCCAGCCTCCTCGGAATGGAAGTGAGCTTCACACATTCGTCCACCGTTAGAACTTCAAGGCCCGTGAGCCGCGTCAGGGAATCCGGAAGCCTCTGGAGCAGCGGGCAGGAATGGATGTGCAGTTCCTGCAGGTTGGCCAGACTCCCCACGCCCAGGTCCTCGGGCAGCTCTCGAAGCATGCATGTGCCCAGCTCGAGCCGGGTGAGAGACGACAGCTGCGTGAACGACGCTGGCAGCCGCGGCTGCTGGTACAGCCCGCTGAGGAAAACGGTCCTCAGCTGAGCGAGCTCTCCGATGTTCTCTGGCAGGCGCACTCGAGGCATCTTGGCAAGGCAGAGGGTTTGGAGGGCGGTGAGGCAGCAGAAGCCTGCTGGCAGCTGGAGGGTGTCCACTGGGGTGCTGGCGCATTCCATGAGGAGGAATGTCTGCAGGGAGGCGAGCTGGCACAGCGAGTCAGGGAGGCTCGAGAGCCGCAGCTTGTGCAGCACCAGAGTTTTCAGGGTGGGCAGGCATCCGAAATTCTCGGGCAGGCTGCCCAGCAGGTCACACTTGGAAAGTGTCAGGCTCTCCAGGAGAGTTAGCGAAGGGAAAGTCTCGGGCAGCCTGAAAGGCTCAGGGGGAGACCAGTGGTACCAGGATTGGCGGAAGATGAGCTCCCGGAGACGCGGCAGCAGGTGGCCAAAGTCACTCGGAAGGTCCTTGGGGTCTGACTGAAGGATGTCCAGCCGTTCGATGCTGGTGCACGGAGACGCCAACGGCAGCAGCTGATTGAATTTCAGCGACTTGAGCCGAGGCAGCTGTGCAAGGTCCAAGTCAGCAGAGCCGTGCTCATCCCCTGCGAAGCGAGTTTGATCGGAGACTGAAAGGGACGTGATGCTTGGAAGGCGCGCTAGGATCTGGAGTTGCAGATAGTCCAAATAACCGGAGACAATAGTGAGGCTGGTGAGGGACGTAAGGCTCGCAAAATGGGGGGATTGGAGCGGGAAAGCGCTTGCGAGAGAGAGAGTGTGCAGGCGCGGGAGGTGGAAGAAGGAGGCGGGGAATGTAGCACTGACATGGAGGCAGTACAGCGACAGCTGCTCCAGCTGAGTGCTCCGCGTGAAGAACCGATCCAGCCCCGCGTCCGTGATGGGGTGCTCGTCCTTCCTGCCGGCACGGTAATGGCCGTAATCATGGTGATTGATCTCCTCCGGTGCGATTCTGCTTCCCACGTGGAGAATCGCCAGCTTAGGACAGCACGAGGCGAGGTGCGCGAGGAAGGCGTCGTCGAGGGTCTCCACGCTGCCGTCGCACAGGTGCAGATGGGTCAGGTGCGGTAAGGACGCGACCGCACCCGCGAGATCCTGGCGGGAAACGGCGAGGTTGTCTCGAACGTAAAGCGCGGAGGTGCAGCGCTGGGCGAGGCGGCGCCAGCGACAGCAGACGGACGCGATGATTAGAATGAGGTGAGCGTTGGCAGAGGGAGGAGGAGTCGGTAATGGCGTCCTCGTCTCCTCGCGAATGGCGTTCTCGACTGAAAGGCGGGCTGAGATGTACTTGGGTGTCGGGATTAAAAAGTCGGATTCCCATAAGGCGTCGCTGTCCGATTTACGCGGCACGCGCTGCTCGTAGTGCCATAGGATCTTGGTGAGAATGTCGTCAGGCAGGTCATGTATGTGCGTGGGAGAATCCATCACGGTCTCCAGGTCACGATGATCGCCTCCTCACACGAGGCTACTGCTACGGCGAGGCGTTGGGTCGTGACGGGTCCAGATAACTAGAGAACACGAGTGTGACTGCCGATCGTATGAGAAGTCGTGGCGAGGGATCGGCGTTGGGTCACGACATCAGCTAAGTCTCTAAAGCAGCTCAAGTGATGCGAGTCATGGCGGATGTGAGCCAGAAAAAGTGGTGGATGGGGTGAACAACTCAGGGCTGCAAACAGGTGACGGCATGGGTGAGTGAGTTCTTGTGGGGTGATGATGGTGTCAGAAGAAGTGGTCTTAGGGATTTGCCGACGGCAGGCGATGGCGCTGTATGTTCCAAGTTTTTGCAGAACCGAAACTTAAGCGAGGATCTCAAGAAGCGCAAAACCAAGTCCATAAGGTTTGGTTTCGGGTTGGGGAAATGAGCGGAGGAGTAACAGTGGCCCCCCAACACCCCTCACAATACCTCGCAAATTTCGCGACCCCCCGAAACCAAAACCTAGCGGTTTGTTTTTTGGGTTTTTAGATTAACGGTAACCCTTACTAGCGTTTTACTCTCTGGGGTAACGTTTACCCCTATTACAGAAGGGTTTTTTGCTGTTCCAACCCCCGAGGGGCAATTTTTTGTTCTTCGAGGTTAGTCCCCTCCACAGCGAACCACGTGTCACAATCTCGTTGCTCCGTCACTGTACTTTTCACTTGGCAAATTCGCCACACCCCTCCTTGTCTTCTTGTTCCGAAGCCATCCAGTGAGGTGGGTGGCTCTACAGCGCGCTGTTACACAGCCTTACTGTTGCGTCAAATCTTCCCGCCAACATTCCAACACGTCTGCTCGCCAAGCTCTATGACTGAAGGTTCCCTTACCAATTCCGCAAGACACCCAAGATCAAGGAGGGTGTGATAGCGATATCCTTGTTATTCTATAAGTTTTAAACAGGACTGAGACACTGCAAATGCACTAGGTGAAGTTATTTCAGCAAAAGGGAATGAGGAAATGTGGTCTCTTAACTTGAGGCAATTATATGCAACATATTTCATGCATATATGCTAACCTACTCTTGTATGTATCGGCCGGCGTATATCAAGAGGTAGAGTTGGCTGACGTGCTGGCAGGAGATCTGGAGATTTGACGCAACAGTAGGGCTGTGTAACAGCGCGCTGTAGAGCCACCCACCTCACTGGATGGCTTCAGAACAAGAAGACAAGGAGGGGTGTGGCGAATTTGCCAAGTGAAAAGTACAGTGACGGAGCAACGAGATTGTGACACGTGGTTCGCTGTGGAGGGGACTAACCTCGAAGAACAAAAAATTGCCCCTCGGGGGTTGGAACAGCAAAAAACCCTTCTGTAATAGGGGTAAACGTTACCCCAGAGAGTAAAACGCTAGTAAGGGTTACCGTTAATCTAAAAACCCTTGTTTTTTTGCTTCTTGAGATCCTGCTTTAATGTCCCTCTAAAGGTTTTTGTTAATGTCGCTTTAATGTCCCTTTAATGTCGCGTGTGATAAGCGTTCATATTTGTTATGGGTGAACTTGAAGATTACCACGGAATGAAATAGCGAAACCGTGAATAAATTAACTGTTCAAGTGAAAGAATGACTAGAACAAGGCATACAAGGGAATATACCGTATTTATCAGAATAATTGAATAATGGTAAAGTGAGAGTACACACAAATATATCTAAGTTTTGTATCCTCTAAGAGGTGACTCTATACAGTCTATACAAACATGACAAATACACATGTTTGACACACCCCCTAGACTGCATAGGGGAATACCCTAAACAAGCAGCTCAGGGCGGCACTACTAGTCCAACCTCTGAGACAAGGGTCTGAGCGACCGGTCAGAAGGAGTACAGACAAGGCAAGCACAAGAGCAGGGCGGCACTACTAGTCCAGCCACTGGGAGAGGACACAAGTCCAGTCTGAGTATACATATAAAGGACAGTACAAAGTCAAGGTCCTAGCAAGTGAGAGGCTACAGGAACTAGACCAAGCTGTACACAGTGCCGCTGATGATCTTTAGGCGCAAGCGCCTTCGTAAAGATATCAGCCGTGTTGGCACCTGAGGCCAAGTGTACTACGCGAGCCTGACGTCGCTGCTGTAGCTCACGCAGGAGGAAGTACCGCAGCTGAATGTGCTTCGCTCTGCCCTCGAGTCGAGGCTCCTGACACAGGAGGATCATGGCCCTGTTGTCAGCGAACAGGATCGGGGCAGAGCTAGGTCGCTCACCTAAGTCAGTGAGCAAGAAGGTCAGCCAGCGGAGCTCCTGTGCCGCCATGGCACCGGCGTAGATCTCAGCCTCACAGCTGGACTGTGCAACAGACGAGGAGCGAGTAGCTCTCCACGAGACGGCACCTGAGCCAAGGCTGAAGCAGTAGCCCTGGGTAGACCTGAGTGTCTCAGCGTCGTCTGCCCACGAAGCGTCTGTGTGCCCAGTAAGGACCGCTGGCCTGCGTCCTCCTAGCACTAACCCCATGCCCGATGTACTAGCAAGATAACGCAGAACCCTCTTAGCGGCAGACCAGTGCTGCGGTCGGTGTCTGCCTGTGGCCACAAAGCGAGCCAGGATGCTGAGAGGGTATGCAAGATCTGGGCGAGTGCAAGTCATCAGGTACATGAGGCAACCCACCAGCTCTGCGTAGGGGCCGCTGGGCTCTACCAACTCCTCAGGCACTGGAGCGGAGAGCCTGTGGTCTACAGGCAGAGGGGTGGGCTGTGCAGAGGAGAACTGAAGGCTGAACCTCTGAAGGACCTGGCGCACCAAGTGTGACTGAGTCAGGGTGATGGTGCGCGCAGCTCTGTCCCTGGAGATCTGCAAGCCAAGGTAACGGCGCAGTTCTCCAAGGTCAGTGCAGGTGTGTCTCTTCAGCAGCTCTGCCTTCACGGAGGCCAGCGCGTCCCTGTCTGCTGTGGCAAAGACCAGGTCGTCGACGTAAACGAGGATGTAGAACGGAGTCTGGCCAGCACGAATGAAGAGTGAAGGGTCTGCAGAAGACGGAAAGAACTGCAGGTCAGCAAGCGTAGCACGCAGAGTGTCGTGCCACTCACGGGGAGCCTGGCGCAGGCCGTAGACGGGGCGCCGCAGGAGCCACTGGGTCCCAGGAGGGAAGGTGCCAGTAAAGCCCGGAGGGCGGCGCAGGTAGACCTGCTCGTGTAGGCTGCCCTGAAGGAAGGCAGTGGAGAAGTCGAGGGAGTGAAGCTCGTAGTCACGCTGAGCAGCTAGGTGTAACAGAACCCGAAGAGTAGTCATCTTCGGGGTCGGAGCGAAAGTCTGGAAGAAGTCCACCCCCTCGCGCTGACTGAAGCCTCTAGCCACATAGCGCGCCTTGAAGACAGGCGGCTCTCCAGGAGGGCGCTTCACCTTGAAGAGCCAGCGGCCATCGACTACGTTCACCCCAGGTGGGGGAACTGCGTCGACGAAGGTGCCGGTGGATCTCCAAGATGCCATCTCCTGCTCCATGGCAGCTATCCACTGCGAGGCCCAGGGTCCCGAAGTCGCCTCAGCGTAAGTGCGAGGGGTCGGGATGTCGAAAGCGTCTGGGTCACCCTCAGGGACTAGCAGCATGGAACAGAGATGGGGAGCAGCCTCGGAGAGGAAAGCAAGCTCGAACTGGCGGTCCTCCAGGACGTCACTGCCAAGGGCAGGAGCACCCCCGACAGACGGAGGACAGGCAGGGTCAGAGACCAGAGCGGTGGCGTAGTCAAGGCGGCGGGTAGAGGCGAAGTCAGCGACAGCAGCGACAAGAGCGTCAAGGCACGAGACTGGAACAGACGGGTCGGTAACGAGAGAGGCAAGGACCCGAGGAACGAGAGGACGAGCGGCACGAAGGTAGTCGGACAGCGGGGGGGGCGCAACAACAAGGGAGGACGGAGGAGGCGACGGTAGAAGGGGAGGACGAGACGCGTGTGAACGAAGCAACATAGGGTGGGAGCGCAGGACAGGCGAGGCAGGACGAGCACGGGAGGGACGGTGAGACCAGACGTGCGATGGAGGAGTCGGGTCAGGAGACAGGGGAGGGGACACAGGAGGGGAACGAGGGGGGAGACGGGCCGGGGACGAGTCCGGCGGAGGGAAAACAGGGCCGTAGACAGGAAGAGGAGGAGACGGTCGGGGAGGAACCGACGCAGGGTCGGGGGACGGAAGGCCGAGCAGGCGAAGGGCGGACACCGGCGGGGACTGCTGCTGCGGCGGCACAACGGCGACAGCTGGACCGCAAGCTGCTCCTCGGCTACCACCGGCACTCTCCACACCCGCACCCCCAGAGGGACCACCCTCAGGGCGACCGGGACGAGCACCCCCAGAGTCAGCGAACGGGGGCTGCGACTGCGGCGGCGGCGGCGGCGGCGGCGGCGGCGGCGGCGACGGCGACGGCTGCAGTGGCGGCAGGGACGGCGGAGGAGGGGACTGGGGAGGGGACACCTGGGGAGGGGCGGCCGGCGAGGACTGCACCGGAGGGCCACCAACCGGGTCCACGGACGGAAGGGGGGTGACATGGGAGACACCAGAGGGGGCGGGACGGGGAGGAGGAGGAGGAGGGGCAGGGACTACCGGGGAAGGGGTGACCAGGAACAGGGGGGGGGTAACCAGGGGACCACGGTGGGGGAAGCGGCGGTAGTAGGAGACGGACTCGTCAAAGGTGACGTCACGAGAGTGAAAGAAGCGGTGAGACGGCGGGTGGTAAAAGTGCCAGTCGGACGCGTCAAGGGGAAAACCGAGGAAGACGCAGGGAAGGGTGCGGGCAGTGAGCTTGTCCGTGCCAGAGGCACGGACGTGAGCAAGGCAGCCCTAGACGTGGAACGCAGACGCGTCACCAGGAGACCCAGTCCACAGACGGGTCGGCGAAACCTGCGGCTGCTGAGGGTGCGGCCACAGGTTAAGCTGGTGAGAAGCGTAGCGCACAGCGAACGGCCACAGAAAATGGGGTGCACCGGCATGGACCATGGAGGTGCGAGCGACCTCCATGACCAAGCCGATGCGTCGCTCAGCGACCCCATTCTGCTGTGGGGAGTCCGGTAGGGTGAACGTCTGGGTGATGCCCTCCGCACGACAAAAGCGACCAAGGACACCTGAGGCAAACTCGCCACCACGGTCTGAGTGAAGACGCAAGACAGGGAGACCGCGGTGGACACGCGCAGAGACAAGCCAGGGGATGAGGGCGCCAGGCACGTCGGCCTTGCGCTCCAGGGGAAAGATTGTGGTGTAACGAGTGAAGTCGTC